ATAAATAGAGCTGGTTTATTTGAAGCTTCATTTTCATATTCTGTTCCACACATATATAAACGGTCCGTTTTAACATCATTAAATATTTATGCAACCAAAATATATTACTTTAATTACCTTACCCTACTAATGCTTATATATCGCAATAAAGGCATATTTTTTGTTAATATAGTTCAACATTAAGTTCAAATAAATTTACCATTTCGTGTTAAATGCATTAATTAATAACTTTTAATTAACAAATTTCTACTCATAAACAGTAAAAATTTAAATAAACTTTACTTTGCATTAATGCAAATTAAAAACAAACAAATGATAAAAAAAAGTTTTTTTTTTTTTTTTTCAATTTCATTGTTGTGGTGTTGTTCATTGCAAAAAATTAACAAATTAACGCCTTTAAAATATGAAACCGCAAAACTACAATTAAAAGCCAAATGCAAAAAGTGCATATATACACCACATACAGTGGCAGTAGGATTAATAATATTACTATGGATAATGCGCAGAAATTGAAAAGAAAAACAATTGAAGAAAAGGTTATAAATATTTGAGCTTCCACTTCCTATTACAAGTTAAATTTTGGAGAGAACTCTGAAAAAATTTACAGAAACAATCAGCGAGGGAAGAACTAAAGATGGGCGGGACCGAGATTGTGCCGTAATTACACATTTAGTGCATAAAAAAAATTGAAATCGGAATGATATAAATGGGAGATATATTCCAATTTGAACCAATTTTTAGGTTGTATCTAACATCTTGTACCGAATATGATTTTTATGGAGTACTTATTACGGCTTTATCAAATCGGATAAAGTATGTTGGTAGCAATATCCTTACCGATTTTAACCAAATATGAAGTACTTGTTTACTGTATAAAAATACAAATCGGAACCGAGTTAATGCACTTTTAGCAGGGTACGATCATGGGCCAAAAAAGTCTCAGTCAGCTAATAAATTATTTGATTAAAAAAAAAAAAAAAAAAAAATACTTGAACAGACAGACAGACAGACGAATGGAAGGACATATATAAGTCAGTTTAGAATGTGACTCAATGCACATCACCAAAAGAAACTATGGGGCTATTTTACAAATAATAGGTCGAGTGGTGCAGTACTGGGTTACTTCCAAACGTTGACCGATATCAAAAAAGCTTAGAGTTTTTATACCCTCCACCATACAGGGTGAGATGAAAAAACTGCAATCATTCTTAAGCCACTCGTCCGACGGCTGTTAAAATTATTCCAGTGACAGCTCATTATATTGTTTACAAGCGTACAACATTTTCAAAAAAAAAAAAAAAAGTTCTTCGTGATGGAATTCAAGCGTGATAGTATGATTTCTTTATATATGTCTGGAAAACCACAAGTGGCTATCGTTAGAGCACTTCTTCATTTAAATGTGAATAAATCTTTTGTGTCTCGTACGCTCGTTACCATGATACGTAGCCCGACGTCATAGAAGTGGAAGGAATGAAGCAGCAACATCAGCAGAAATGGTACGAAAAGTAAAGAAGCGACTTGATCGCAGCCCACGTAGCAGTGGCCGAAAAATGGCTCGAAAGCTAAACATATCGCAATATTCTATTCGCAAATATTGAAAAATTAGCTCGGACTAAGGCCATTCCAAAAAATTCAAGAACTTACTCCGCAACAAAAAGAAAATAGACTCAAAAGAGCCAACGAGTTGCTTCGCTTGGCCGAAAGTGATGAACTGCCAAATTTGGTTTTCTCCAATGAGAAAACATTCGTTGTCCAGCAGTTTGTTAACAGACAAAATGATCGTGTTTACTTGCCAAAGAGGTCAGCTGAAAATGTTCACCTTCGGTTGGCCACCAAAACTCAAGCGCCGGCCATGGTGATGGTGTGGGCCGCCATAACAGCCGATGGTCACTCTCCGCTCGTATTTATCGTGGCATCAGAATAAATGTCGCGAAAATTTTTAGAGGATGTGTTAAAGCCTTGGTCACGCAAACATTAGGGCCGCAGACCTTGGACATTCCAACAGGACTCAGTAGCGTCGCACATGCGCCACCCAAGAATGGTTACAAATTGAGGTTCCTCGCATCATTTCCAGCGCACAATGGCCACCAAAATCTCCGGATACCAATTCGTTGGACTATTGTGTCTGGAGTATTTTGGAAAGCAAGGTTGGCACTAAAAAATACCAAAGTGTCGATCACCTCAAGCAAGCGCTTCGCCGGAAATGGGCCAAAATACCGCAAAGCAATAGTCAGGCAACGTGTGACGGTTTCATTAACCCTTTGAATGCCATAATTCGTGCCAAAGGTGACCTATTCGAACAAATCTAAACTTATTCTAAAATATGATGCTATTTCCTACATTTTTTGCTTTCATTCAATAAAATTTAAAGAAATGATGTAAAAATAATGACGTTTGACTTTGTTGCAGTTTTTTTATCTCACCCTGTATTTCGAGGTGTTACATAATTTTTGGCCCAATCAACTTATGATACCCCCAACACATAATGTTTTAGGCTATTTTATTTCAAACTAGTTGTCTAAAAAATTGCATCCCCTATTTTTATTGAGCCACTGCACTAGGTGCGAGTAACAGTTTATTTTTGTATTCCTCATTTGCTATTGTGGTCTTTGGTTGACATTGGTATTTATTTTCCACATCGGTGACTTCAGGTACATATGCATGTGTGCCTTAAAGTTCGTTCACAAAAACGTGTTCATTATGGAAACACAAAATTAATTATTACTTGGAAAAAAAAATAATAATATTATGTCCGACTGAAACCGACTCTTTTTATAAACTGTTCGATGAAAAATAAGTTTGTTTTTTTTTTTCGAAAGAATCGTGGGGCAAAAGAAAAATACAACTGGTATTTATGGATCTACATACCAGTTGTATTTTTCTCTTGTATGTATCGTAAGACACCGTGATATGTGGGCTATAGGCAGACGAAGATATATAAAACAAGTAATCAAAGGCTACAGTCGTGCGTGGCCGACCATGTGATACCCTACAACACTACAATACGTTAGAAGTCCCTTTACGCCCAAATGCATTTTGGAAGATTTCGCTTTTGAAATTATGTTACGGAGAACTGACCAGATATTATCCTTAGCATTTTGAACAGTGACATTTGACCAATATTTACACACGCCGTCATGCTGTCAGTTGTTGTGGTCCGTTTTATAGCTAAATATAAGCAATTGGTCATCCAAAATGCTACAATTCTTCCCTGTCCTTAACTCTCTTCTTAAGCGTGTCGATTGGCTTCAAATGTGTGATCACTATTTTTTTTTGGTCCATTTAAACACCCAAATATATTGTGGACATCTTTGAAAACAATAGGCCTAGCCCTTCTGAGCCTAACCCTACCCTTGTGAAAATTTTCGTGAGGATCGGACGATAATTGCAATCTGTATATAATAACCCCAACCTTTGTTGTAGGTTGAAAAAAATATTACAAAACAAGTAAGCAAAGGCTATAGTCGTGCGGGGCCGACCATTTGATACCCTACAACACTACAATTGGAGAAGAAGATTTCGTTTTTAAATAGTATAAAAATAATGCCCCTATCCTTAACTCTCTTCGAACCCCTTAAAGCCTAAGAACAATAGGCTTTAATTCTGACCCTAACCCTACCGCCATACAAAATTTCGTGATGATCGGACGATAATTGCAACATGCATATAATACCCTCAAAACGTAGTGTTGAGGAATGTGAAAATGTAATATATTTGTGATATGGCTGGGATTAAAAATATTCGCGGTTTAGTGGAAATTTTATTATTTCCTTACATAAAAGTTAGGGTCTATTTTACCCGCTAAATATTGTCCGATGGCCGCCCAAATTGGTAGGCTTCTGTCCAGTCCTAAACTCTAACTCCATGTATATTTTCGCGTCGTCTGGCGATTTTTTTAGATTTTATTATTCTATGCCAAGAGGGCATTCTGAATTGACAAAATTTGTCAGTCCAGCCATTCTTGAGATATAAGCATTCTAGCTAACATCCCCTACCGTTGTATATATACATTGTATATATTTCGCTATATATATCCGATATTTTTACCATCGGCAGCTACGTAACGGTCAGAATTGACCTGTTCCTCCATGTATAATTTAATTGCGACCTGTAGAGTGATTACAAATTAACATGGACAGACGGACGGACGGACATACCTAGCTAGATCGACTCAGTTCGGTTCGCGATAGGAAGATCCATATATACTTTCCTATGTGGGAAACCAATATTTCGAGGTGTTACATAATTTTTGGCCCAATCAAACTTATAATACCGCCAACACATAGTGTTGTAGGGTATAAAAATCTCTAACTGTACATCCACAGTCCATATACCAAATTTTTCTAAAAAATCATAATATCGAACATCGGGAATATGGGGGATGTAGGAAATCATGAAAGTATATAGACAATTTTCTGTCAGAACTGAAACTGTTACATGAGGCTATAGGGAAATATGAATCTATACAGAAAACGTTCTGCAAGCGGCAACAGTGGGAAGGCTAAAACATCATCAAAATAACGAATATGGGGAGATATCGTTATATAGGGTCTATGCGAATGCGTAACATGACAGATGCTTGGACCGTGAGCCAGATAAATAGTTATATTGTGACCCAATTTCGTCCCAAATTTTATTTCTATGAAGCACATTTTTGATAATTGAGGGTAGACTCGTTCTACATTCAACACACATATATATTTTCTGCAAATCCGATACATTTGCATACACACCATCTTTGCGATGCCATTGGGTTCTTGTGTATGAAGGTACATGTGTTAACAATAGATATTTAAAATACGTCATAATTACATACGGCCATAAGGTGTGCATATTTTAAGATACTGATGTGTGTCGTCATCAAATTAATAATAGACAAGGAGTTATAGGACTTAACCACATCGATTTTCAATTAATTTCACTATAAATATTCCAAACAAAATTACTTGGGAACACATTTGCCAATTACTTGTTCTATAATACAGATCTAAGAGCAACCTTTTCGCAAAAAATGAAACTTTTAGGAGCTCTCGTATTTCTGGGTCTTTGTTTTGAAATTCAATCGGCAGCGACTCGTTTCTGTGGTCAAAATTTGGTACAAATACTGGAAGCCGTTTGTGTGGATGGCTTCAATGGCATGGACATTAGTAAGAAATCCATACACAAACCATGTAAGTCAAATATGAAAACGTAATAGGATAAGAAAGTAGTAACTTTAATTTCAATGCAGCCCACCACGGACTTGCGGATTTATTTGAAATGAAAGAAGTCGACAATGAAAAGCACACCAATGGCATTTCCAATTCTCTCATTAATGACATGTTGTACAATGGAGAATTGAATGGATTGGCTAAAACACGCAGACAAAGACACCTACATGGTGTTTACGACGAATGCTGTCGAAAAGGTTGTACTTTAAATGAACTTGCCGGCTACTGTCTTTAAGAGAATAATGATGCGCATAGAAATATTTTAAAGCATTTTGTAATGTTGACAATTTGGATAATAAATCAAGAATAAAATATGATTAGACGCATAACTTCTCTAACTTCTCCATGTAAAATATACAAAAATGGAATGTAGCCATTCAAGAGGCCACCCGTACTGCGTACGCCCTATACGGGAACGTGGACCTGCATATCCAATAATTTAACACAAATACCAATTTTGAGAAAATAACACGCTCAATATCGGGAGGTACAGTCATATTGGGCGATATTTAAAACGTAGGTCTTCATAGAAAATTATTTTTTAGGCAGGGTGGGAACTCAAAATTCCAACTTTGAGAAAAATCTCTTGAAAATACCGAATATCAGGGGGGCTACCTCATGTTATACGAAAAAATGGAAATGCATTAATAACTATATACCAAAAAACTCTGAATACCATCTTTAAGAAAATTCCGTTGACAAATGTGTGACCTGCATTGACAATGCTAAATTCCGAAATTCGAAAGGTGGACTATACCACAATTTGGATAAAAAGTTCATTCCAAAGGATGATTTTTGCACGCTGGGAACACAAACTAGAAATTCGTTTTCAAAATATGACTAAAATCCCAAAAATACCTTAAATGGGGTCGTACCGTTATTTGGGATAAAAGTTCTATGGACCAAAAAATAAATTGTAATTGATACTACAGCCTACAGAAAAAATACTCGCATGCAGGTCCAAGTCTTCGTATAGCCCCCATATAAAGGTACCTCCCGTTAATTTGTATTTTGATGATCTTAGCGAAACTATTCACCGGAATTGTTTCAAATTTGGCATTTAAAGTTCGTAATGGATACTACAGCCTATGACAGAAAATTGTCTGTGCTGGTCCACGTCTTCGTATAGCCCCCACATAACGGTACCTCCATTTATTCGGTGTTTTCATGATATTTTTCATCCGAATTGTTTCAATTTGGTATTTGAAGTTCGTAATGGATATTACAGCCTATGACAGAAAATTGGTTGTGCAGGTCTATGTTTTGGTATAGCCCCCATATAACGGTACCTCCCTACATGCGGTATTTTGATGATTTTAGCTACATTATTTACCGATTTTTTCGAGTTTCGCATTTGAAAATTGTAATGGCCTATGCAAGTCAACGTCGTCGTATAGACCCTAAAATAACGGCTAAATTCGGTATTTTTAAGATCTTAACAGAATTTTTAAGGGACTTTATTTATTTATTTATTTTTTTTTTTTTTGAAAATTCCTTCCAAATGGTGGAGGGTATTCAAAGTTCGACCCGGCCAAACTTACAGTTTTTTTTACTTGTTTGGTTTTCAAAATCTCGAACCCAATGTTGGGGAAGTACAAGAAGAAATGATCTGATCTCTAATTTTTATAACAGATCTTTTGTTATTAGAAATAATTGGATGTGTTAACTTTGAAGAGAACCGGATGCCAATTTCGGATTTTATAATCGTTTTGGTTATTCAAAACATTGACCCTTTGTGGGGGAGGTACCAGAAGAAATGGTCCGATGTCCACCATATTTAAAAGCGATCTTGTGTTGGTAGAATTATTTAGATGTGTGAAGTCTGAATGGAATCGAATATTAGTTTCGCGTTTTATGAGCTTCATGGATATTCAAAATTTTGACCCTTTGCGGGGTAGGTTCCAGAAGAAATGTTTCAATCTCAAACATTTTTATAACAGAACTTGTGTTGATAGAAATATTGAGATGTGCCGTGTCCGAATGGAATCGGATTTAAATTTCGCGGTTTTTGAGCTTAATGGATATTCAAAATGTTGACCCTTTGTGGAGGAAGTACCAAAGGGAATGAATGAATCTTCACAGCAAATCTTGTGTTGTAAAAATGATGGGATGTTTAAGATATGAAGAGAACAGGATGCTTACTTCGGTTTTCATGATCGTTTTGGTTATTCAAAACATTGACCCTTTTGGGGGAGGTACCAGAAGCAACGGTCCGATGTCTACCATTTTTAAAAAAAGATCTGGTGTTGGCGGAAATATTGACATTGTCCATTCTATCGATTATCCTTCCTCTTTCCGTGCATTAAAATATTATTTCGAATTTTGTCGCAAATTGTAGTGATGTAGGGTATCAAATGGTCGGCCCCACCCGACTATAGCCTTTGATAATAGAAAGTTAAATTGAAAATTTTTCATGCAACATAAAAAGTGAAAAAAAGCACATGACAAAATGCGACAAAATTATTCATATGTTCGCGTTTTTATTGAAATTTTCCTGTTTTTCCAGTATTTAAATTTAGTTATTTAACGCAATTGTCTAAAATTTGGCATTTAAGACTCATAATTGATAGCAGCTTCCGTAGCAGAAAATTGTGTACATATGTTCACGTTTTGGTAGAACTATACCGCTATATGGTATTCTGAAAGGTTTACCTAAATTTTTTATACCCTCCACCATACATAGTATGGAGGGTATATTAAGTTCGTCATTCCGTTTGTAACTCATCGATCATTTTAGACCCAAGACGATTTAGTTTTAATCACGCTGCAGTCAAAACGTATTAAGATAGGAAGCTAAAATTTTGCACAGATCTGTCTTTGGCCTGCAGGCAGGTCAAGTTCGAAGATAGGTTATATCGGTCCACGATATCGTATAGCCCCCATATAACGGTACCACCCTATATTCGGTATTTTGATTATTTTAGCCACATTTTCAATGGAATTGTCTTAAAATTCTTCCAAGAAATTTCTTGGTTGTTAAAGTTTTAGAAGCAAATTGTCTATATAGCTCCCCAATTTTTGTATAGACCCCATATAAAGGTACCTCCTGATATTCGGTATTTTGATGATATCAGCTACAATTTATCAATGGAATTGTCTTAAAATCCTCAAAACGAATTCATTATGAGTGCATTACCCCCTAGAAGAGAATTGTCTATATATGTCCATGATATCATATCCCCCTATATAAACCTGCCGATATTCGGTATTTTGATGATTTTTGCGACGTTATTCACAGGAATTGTTTAAAATTTTCTATATAAAGTTCGGAACAGTTAGCACAGCCTATGACACAAATTACTTATGCAGGAATACGTCTTCGTATAACGGTTTTCATTTGAGCGGTATTTTCTTAACGATTTTTTTTTAAATAATTTAAGTTTTTTTCCAAATGGTGGAGGGTATAACATATTAGCTTATTTACTTTATACTATTACAGTTAGACCTCACGCAGTACATAATTGAGTAAAGCCTACCAGAGTACCTATAATCACAGGCATCTAAACAAAACCAGCTGATGGACAAATTAAAACTTCGAATTAGACCGTTTTCTAGTAACATCCAATGAATCATCGTTGTCCGTCCAAAAATGGTGAAATAATGACAAAACCAATCGTTTTGCCTATGTCAGTCGTTGTTTAACATGTGGTCATTAGATATAAACTTGGTCTCAATTTTTGGGACATCAAAACGGCTCTTCTATCTTCTCTCCTTTAAAAAAAATCTGAAAAACAAAACAAAAAAAAAAAAAAAAAATTCAGTTAAATTTTATAACACTTCCCTTTTACAGAAAATTTTGTAAAAACAAAAAAAAAAATATTTTGTAACACTTATTACAAAAATTTCGAATAAAAAGGCACTCATATTATCGACACCGTTTAATTATAACAAGTAAGAAATTGTTTTTTTTTTTCGTAGCCCTTTATTTGCTAATTATCAATTAATTGTCCGTATGCCAGAAAATAATTGATTAAACAGATACTTTTGCATAAACATTAACTTATAGACAGTATCCCGCAATTTCATTCAAGGTGCAACCTTTTCGACAGCATTCGTCGTAGACTCCATTCAAGTGACGTAGTCTGCGTGTCTTTGCCAGACCATTAAATCCCTCACCAGACATCATATTACTGAGTAGGGAACTGGATTTAGTGTGTGGCTCATTGTCTACTTCATTTGGTCCAATTACATCCAATAATCCGTAATTCACTGGAAGCAAAATGATATGTTATCCTTGTCGTTTAAATTATTATTATTTTTTTTTCAGTTACTTACTTTGTTTACCGATTGACTTCTTACTCATCTGCATGCCATAGAAACCATCCACACACACTGCGTCCAGAATCTGAACCAAATTCTGGCCACAGAAACGAGTTGCTGCCGTTTGAATTTCGTAGCAAATGGCCAAAAATACAAGAGCACCTAGAAGTTTCAATGCGGCAACCGTAGTAGTTTCCTTTAGATATTAGATCGCTAACAGACTTCAGCCAAATGTGATTGTTAACGATGCCCTATTGATTATTTATAGTTAAATCCATCAAATTTCCTATTGAACACATACACGTGTAATAGGTTGAGGGCGACAGTATTTAAATTAGTCACATGTAATTATGACGTATTTCATCCCAAGGAAACAAATATGTAAATTGGTTACCCTTAGCCGAAATTTAGAGCACAAAACATGAGTATTTCATGCCAGCGGAATTTTCCATCGAAATTAAAGTTTAATTTAGCCTCTGATTTTAGTTAGTTATATTAATTAATAAAATATTATTTATAGATATAAAAGAGTAAAAAATGGGAGGCTGACTGACTGATTCGTCAGCGTACAAATGAAACGACTAAAACTAGAATCTTGAAATTTTGCATGTGGGTCAATATTGCTGGAAAGGGGGAGAAAAGACTGGGGCTTAGGAATCTCGGACTAGAACTAAACTACTATAAAACACTACATTTCGTACCTTTTGGTATTTTGCAAACGGATTCAGATAAAATCTTAAAATTTTAGTACAAAAATTATGTTTTGTGAGTAGTGTTGATATAAGCAGGTGTTTTTGGAAATGTGTACTAAGTGTAACAAATGTACTAAATGGTTTAAATTCGGTAAAATTTAGTAGTGGTTAAACGGAAGAGTGAAGGGGGTATCAAAAGTATTAATATGTACTAAATTTGGTACCAACAGAAATTAGGTGAACGGATAGTTGTAAAATCTTGAAATTTGGTAGGAGAATTCCTAGAAATGGGGTTTATGTCGAGAAGTGGCTTTGGAAATCTGTACAAAGTGGAAGAACTGTACTAAATGGAACTAAATTTGGTACAATAGTGAACGGATAGAGCTGGTAGTTTCGATTTCGATGTGGGTATTGGTTATCTTGTTTGTGGTAGGTTTGTAATAAAGAAGTGATTTTGGAAATGTGTGCTACAAGTGTATGAAAAGTACTAAATAGTACCACATTTGGTACAATTTCTTATTGGATGAACAGATTGTGCTTGAAATTTCACAATTGGCATTAGGGTCGTTGTTCATGTGTTGCCTAGACATATGGAGGTGGTTTCGGAAATGTGTATCATAATTGTACGAAAAACACTGAGTGGTACTCTATTTGGTATTGAGTGAAGTGATAGAGAAAAATCTGAATCAGAAATTTGATTTTTAGATTACTGTTTGAGATTTGGCTGTGGTTTTGCAAATGCGTCCTATGATTGTTCTAAATGTGATATTGGGTGAAGGCATAAGGCTGCAATTCTCAAATTTGATATTGAAGGGATTTTGGAAATGTATACTGTAGCTGTGCGAAAATTACGAAATTGTACTAAATTTTGTACTGACTGAAGGAATAGAGCTGAAATCCCGAAATTTGATATAGTCGCCACTGTTGGTGACTGTGGTTAACGCATTTAAGTGGTTTGGGAAATGTATACTATAATTGTACAAAAACTACTAAGTGGTACTAAATCTGGTATTAGGTGAATGAATGGAGCTGAAATCCCGAAATGTGTTATTGTTTTCTGTGTTTGTATCTGGGTTTGGGATATGGAGATGTTTTCGGAAATGTGTTCCATAATTGTACGAAAAGTATTAAATAGTACTAAATTTTAGGTGGAGAAATTTCCTCAAATTTTATAGTGAGATCTCTGGTGGTATCTGGTCGTGGTTTTGCGTATTATAATTGTTCGACAATACTAAATGGTACTAATTTTAGTTCACTGTTGTTGTTTAGGATGGAGAGTTGTTTTTTTTTCGTATTTGCGCATTATTTTTTATTAATATTTGTTTTGGGTAAAGGGTTACAGCCGAAATTCGGCAAATTGATACTGATGTCGCTGTTGGTTTCTAGGGTTTATGAAGAGGTTGAAATAGTTTTTAACAGAAAATTTGGATATGGGCTTTTCTTACTATAATTTTCCTATTACGATTTCCGAAAAAGGAAAAACTTGAACAAAATATAAAACCTTAAAAGTCTGAAAATTTAGTACGACATATTAAGTTTTGATGAAAAAAAGTTGTCAAGCTGAACAAATTGTACATTTTGAGTACTAAACAGGCATAGGAATAACTGTTTGAACCTTCTCAGTAAATTTATGCGATTAGAGGTAGCATTTATTGTACTACACAGACAGACAGTGGATTTGTTTTATCTAAGGCCCTATGGAATATGGGTCTTACATAATTACTTCGATGAATAACGATATACTTTTTACTGGTTTATATCAAGAACATAATGTTATTGAAGTAAGTCAATTTTTTCATTATCATATCCATTCTGTTATTTTTTTCGAACTGTATGACTTTCATAATCAGAGGCTAAATTAAACTTTCATTTCAATAAAAACCCTCCCACATTAAATATTTATATTTTGTGCTCTAAATTTCGGCGAAGAAAAATAAATTTACATATATTTTTCCTTGGAATAAAATTCAAGTGTACGGGTTCTATGAAAAATTCGCTGGATTTAACTATAAATAATCAATACAAAATCATTAACCATCACATTTGGCAGCAGCGTGTTAACAATCTAAGATCTAAAGGAAACTACTTCGGTTGCCGCAATGAAACTTCTAGGTGCTCTTGTATTTTTGGCCATCTGCTATGAAAGCCAATCGGCAGCAACTCGTTTCTGTGGCCAAAATTTGGTTCAGATTCTGGACGCTGTGTGTGTGGATGGTTTCTATGGCATGCAGATGAGTAAGAAATCATTCGGTAAACAAAGTAAGTAACTGAAAAAAAAAATAATAATAATTTAAACGACAAGGATAACATATAGTTTTGCTTCCAGTGAATTACGGATTATTGGATGTAATTGGATCAAATGAAATCGACAATGAACCACACCCCAAATCCAGTTCCCTGCTCAGTGATATGTTGTCTGGTGAGGGATTTAATGGCCTGGCAAAGACACGCAGACAACGCCACTTAAATGGAGTCTATGATGAATGCTGTCGAAAAGGTTGCACCTTGAATGAAATTGCGGGATACTGTCTATAAGTTAATGTTTATGCAAAAGTATCTGATTAATCAATTATTTTCTGGCATACTGACAATTAATTGATAATTAGCAAATAAAGGGCTACGCAAAAAAACTATTTCTTTATTCTTATAATAGAACGGAGCAGACAATAATATGCAACAATTGTTTCAACATTTTACTGTATGTGCCGTTTTTAACACAAATGTCCGATAAAAGAAACCAAACTGATACATACATTTTGATATGATGTGTTGAGAGTATTCTAGATAAAAACGTTAGTTAACAAGCGTAATTTTTTAGTACGGGTGACGGGTACATTTTTAGCTATTATATTTTTGGCAACTTTCGTTAAAACAGCTCACGGAGATTTCATATTTTGCTTCGCTGTCAAAAATCTTCAGTTTGGCTTTAAAAATTCACCGCTGGTCTTACAAAAGACCAGTGCTTGCAAATCGTTGAATTTTATTATCAAAATGCACGCTCTGTTAAGAATGATCATCTTGGGTTTCTTCCATTCAGCGACGAATCTTATTTTTTATCTACCCATTAAATTATCGATTTTGGAGCGAATATCAGCTAGAGATATAACACGTTACAATGGATTTATTGAGTGGCAAGTTCGGCGAACGTTTTATTTCGCGTTCGGGATCGGTTAATTGGCGCTTAGATTGGGTGACGCCATGTCTTTAGACTATTTTTGTGTGACTTTGTTAAAACTCATGCCTATACAGACGGGCCCGCTTCAATTGTCAAATTTCAAAGACGTCAAATTTTATGGAAATCGGTTCAAAAATATTTATAGCTCCCATATATATGTTTCATCCGACTTTATATTTAAGTCCTCCAGAGTCGTAATATGCACTCTATAATAATCAATTTCGACACAAGGTATCCTACATATCCTAGATTGACATTTGCCAAACTTTGTCGAAATCGGTTCAGATTTGGATGTATATAGGGTGAGATAAAAAAAATTGCAACAAAATCAAACGCCATAATTTTCAATTTTTTTTAATTTTATTGAGTAAGAGATGCCAAAAATGGCATCAAAATTTAGAATAAGTTTAGATGTGTTCGAATTGGTCAACCATGGCACGAATAATGACCTTCAAACGGCCAATGAAACCGTCACACGCTGTCCGAATGTTGCTCTGCGGTATCGTGGTGCTTGCTTTAGGTGATCGACACTTTGGTATTTTTTAATGCCAACATTGCTTTCCAAAATATTCCAGACACCATGGTCCAACGGATTGGTATTTGGAGATTTTGGTAGCCATTGTGCGCATGAACCTCATTTTGTAACCATTCTTGGGTGGCGCGTACTGAGTGCGATGGTGAACTCTTGTTGGAATGTCCACGGCCTGCGGCCAAAATGTTTGCGTATCCAAGGCGTTAATACACCCTCCAGAATATTTTCGCGATAATATTCGGTATTCGGAGCGGAGGCAACCATCGGTTGTTATGGCGGCCCACACCATCACCATTGCCGGCGCTTGAGTTCTGGGTTCCAACCAAAGGTGCACATTTTCAGCTGACCTCATTGGCAAGTAAACACGATCACTGCTGGACAACGAATGTTTTTTTCATCGGAGAAAACCAAATTCGGCAGTTCACCACTTTCGGCCAAGCGAAGCAACTCTTTAGCTCCTTTGAGTTTATTTTCTTTCTGTTGCGGTGTAAGTTCTTGCACTTTTTGGAATTTCAATGGCTTTACCCCGAGCTCTTTTTCAATATTTGCCGAATGGAATATTGCAATATGTTCAGCTCACGAGCCGTTTTTTGGGCACTACGACACGGGTTTCGATCAAGTCGCTTCTTTACTTTTCGAACCATTTCTGCTGATGTTGTTGTTTTCTTCCGTCCACTTCCTTGACGTCCGTCCACGCTACGCTACCAGTATCACGGTAACGAGCGATGGTATGAGACACAAAAGACTTATTCACATTTAAATGCTGGAGTGCTCTAACGATAGCCACTTGTGGTTTTCCAGCCAAATATAGAGAAATCACACTATCACGCTTGAATGCTTGAATTTCGCGTTGTATGAGCTTCACTGACATTCAAAATTTCTACTATTTGTGGGGGAGGTACCTGGAGGAGTAGACAGATATATTCCATCTTCACAGCAAATCTTGTGTTAGTAGAAATCATGGGATGTCCAAAATATGAAGAGCACAGGATTGTTATGTGGGTTATTCAAAACTTTGACCCTTAATGGGGGAAGTACCAAAAGGAGTGGACCGATATATTCCATCATAAATAATATTAATAATAATATTCCATCATAATAAAAATATTGAGATATGCATAATTTGAAGGCAATCAGACTCACATTTTATACAAGTTGTAATTATTCAAAATTTTATCCCTGGGGGACGTAATTGTTTAAAATATTGGCTATTGCCCAGTTGGAGCATAATCGGATTCTCCTTCCTCTTTCTGTGCAGTAAAATATTTTTTTGATAATTTCGACCTTTTGTGGGGGATGTTCCAGAAGGTGTTTACCGATATTGCCCATCTCCGAACTAAACCTAAATTTGATAATAATATTAAGATATACCAATGTTGGAACAAATCGGATACTCCCTTCGACAGTTATCGTGCGCACCATGATGGAGACCCCTGGATGGACTCCAAATGTTCTGAAACGGATTTGGTCCAAAGAGACCTAGGGTTTTTGGGGCACGTTGTGGCCGTATCAAATGATATGTACCCTCTCTAGTTATATGACTGAGGGTATAATAAATATTGTAACATTTAAATTCCTGTATATATATTTTGCTATACTTCCATGTATTGTTGTCTTCTTGGGAAATAAATTTCAGGACTGAAAATAGTTAAAAATTTAAAAATTATTCCAAAGACCATCCAAATCCCTCTGACCTTTAAAATTCAGCATAGATTGGTCCATACCTATGACATCTACAAAGGCTGAGAAGAATGTTCCTTAACTAACTATCTATCATCTTTAAAAATTAGGGGCTTTCATTTTAACCAAGGTCTAACGGCATTTGCAATTTCAATATAATTGGACCATAATTGTGATCTGCAGAGAGATTGCAATTGTGCAAGAACATGTGGACGGGCGTACAGACACAACCCGTCGATGTATGTATAATACTTTGTTGAAGTTCAGTCACGTATTGTATTAGTTAGAAGAAGGATCCAAATTTATGACGCCGCTACCCATACATACATTGATATTAATATTTCTTTAATCTCAAAACTTAAGAGTTGAGGTTTGGACGGAATATAAATTAGTTTAAATCATACCAAGGTAGGCAAAATTAAGTAAATTTGAATACAATTTTACGTCATCGTAAGTGTTTGCATGTGAGTTACCTATATGACAAGCTACGCTACACTATGATTACATGTAAATACAATTTGTTGTATGGTCTATTTTTATCGGAATACATACACAGATTTCATTATAAATTACTATAAATATTCAATGGAAAATGATTTACAACCACATTTGGCTTCAGTGCGTTTCAGGAATTAGATCCAAAGAAAAAAAGTTGCTGCAATGAAACTTCTAGGTGCTCTAGTATTTTTGGCCCTTTGCTATGAAATTCAATCGGCAGCAACTCGTTTCTGTGGCCAAAATTTAGTTCAGATTCTGGATGCTGTGTGTGTGGATGGTTTCTATGGCATGCAGATGAGTAAAAAGTCGATGGGAAGACCACGTAAGATAATAGAAAATTTCGTGATGTAAAACAAGTCTAACACACTTTTTTCCTTGCAGTTCATTATGGATTATTCGATGTGATTGGATCAAATGAAATCGGCAATGAGCCACACCCCCAATCCGGTTCCCTGCTCAGTGATATGTTGTCTGGTGAGGGATTGAATGGTCTAGCCAAGACTCGCAGACAACGCCATTTGAATGGAGTCTATGATGAATGCTGTCGAAAAGGTTGCACACTGAATGAAATTGCCGGATATTGTCTTTAAATGATTGCTTGTGTAAAAACCATACCTTGTAAAACCTCTTACTATTATTGAAAAAAAAATTAGGATAATAATGAATTTATGAAAAAAAAAAAGAAGTCAGGAGAGTTTATGATCGGATCACTTGAACTTTATTTATTTATTATTTTTTAAAATATAGGTATTTTTACCCTAATTATATTGGAATATCTTTTTCGTGGGTCAGAGACTCGGTTATCCATATATTTGATAATATTCGAATGAACTTATCCACAAATTTTCATAAGTATTGAGAGATATTTAAGACGTTGTTGTTTTTTAAAATTGTTAGTGAATTTTATAGTAAGACATTTAAGAGTTTGTATAATTTAGTTTATGACCTAATGCGGCTTGGTTGTTATATTATGAAAAAAAAAAAATAAATAAATTTATTAAATCAATTATTCAACAAATAATCACATGATGGTCTATTTTAACTGTCCTGACCGCTAACCAATAAGGAAAGGTCAACGGTGGGGCGGGACAGACTACAGGGTGAGAAGATAAAAAACTGCAACAAAGTCAAACGCCATAGTTTTTATATTTTTATACCCTACACCACATGGTGGTAAGGGTATTATGTCTTTGTGCATTTGTTTGTAACATGGAGAAGGAAGCGAGATTGACCCATAATTACTTTTGAGGATCTCCATAGAATTACTTTCTGAGTTGATTTATGCATGTCAGTCCGTCCGTCTATCCATGTATTCTTGTGAACAAAATGCTTTTGATTGAGATGAAATTTTCCAAACAACATTTGTTTGGCCCAAGGACGAACCCTATTGAAATTGGAGATAATCGGTAAAAATTTAGATATAGCTCCCATATATATCTTCGTCCGATTTGCCTTTTATTGTGCACCAAATGTGTAATATCAGCCCGAATAGTATTGAATTTACAACCAAATTTGGAACATACAACCAAATTCCAAAATTGTTCGAAATCGGTTCAGATATAGTTTTAGCTCTCATATATATTGTTCATCCGATTTGTTATTTTTGCCCTCCGCAACCGTAATATGCACTCTGTAACAACAATATTTGGGGAAATATATCAAATGCAGCTCAGAAATACATTACATTTGCTAAATTTTATCAAGATCGGTTCAGAT